CCCCGCATCTGACCCCCCCTCCCTCAACAAGAGGGATGGCAGGGGGGCGGTGCCCCCTCCCACCCATTAGGACACCCGTTCCGCGGTTGAGACCGTGCGGGGAGAGGGGCCCACCGGTCGGAGTGAGCCGACTGTGTGGAGGGGAGTCCTACATAACCCCGGTTATGTTCCCGCGTAACCGGGGTATGTGTAACGCATTTCTCCCGCCTTACCAAAAAAAAAGTTTAAAATAGAGGAGTGATGCAAATATATCCCTTCTCTCTCGCAAGATTTTGACAAAAATCTTATAGTATGATTCTTATCATATCTCGTATAAATAACTTACTGTGAATTAAAAAATTAAATTTACCTAATAATTTGTATTGTAAGTGTTATTTATTAAAGTAGCCTCATTTTAAAAATAATTAAGACATTCTGATCTCAAAAATAATTTTTTTCAAAATTAACTTTTTTTAAACTTAAGTTAATTCAATTTTAACTTAACTTTTATTAAGTTAATTTTTTTTTCTTCAACTCTTAACTTAATTTTATTAATTTTATAAGTTATTATAAAATTATAATAATAACGCCATTAACTTTAACTTAATTTAGTTTAAGAGAAAACATTAACTTACCCAACCCAGATAAGTATATATACGAATATTTTGTCCGTCCATACGACCCGTCGATTGCAGAAATACGAGAGCAAATCAATATGTATCCGTGTTTAAAGACAGGTGGTGTTGCTGATACAAGTTGGCATTACCATCGTGTACTACCATCTTTCAAACGACGCCATACAAAATTTCAGAGTAATTCATGCGATAGTTTTGATTTGACAGCAATTCGTAGTGAGCGTGTTTGATGTTTCTTGAATTTACAATAGAAAACGAGCAATATGGATCCGTTATTCGCGTTTTATTTTTGGATTAAGTTTTTTTGATCGTTGTCTATTTTTGAACGAACTTTTTATTTCTTCGCACGTTTTTCCATCCAAAAATAAAAAGCTAATCACGGATCGATA